TCCGAACAATTCCAGCAAATGATCTGGCCACCTAGATCGCCCGACATGAATCCGATCGAACATTTATGGGAAATCATCGAGAGGTCAATTCGTGCCCAAAGCCCTGCACCGTCAACACTTTCACAATTATGGACGTCTATAGAGGCAGCATGGCTCAATATTCCTGCAGGGAACTTCCAACGACTTGTTGAGTCCATGCCACGTCGAGTTGCTGCACTTCGCCGGGCAAGAGGAGGACCGACAAAATATTAAGAGGTATCCCATGACTTTTGTCACTTCAGTGTAAAGCAAATTATTGTAAGTAAGGTCAAACAGGCAAAGTATTTTTCTGTTTTACTTGATTGTAGCCCTGATGCCAGACATCAAGAGCAGATATTAATTTGTACGAGGTATCTTAATTTAGAAAGTACAAACATGAGTATTGAAGAAAAGTTTTTAGTATTTTGTGTTTCAACAGATACGACTGATGAAGGATCAACAACATTCTTATTAAAGACTTTAAAGGAAAATGGTTTAGACATTAGTAATTTATGTGGCCCAGAATACAACAATGGTTCAGCCATGACAGGTTAACAGTTTTCATTTCCTCAAATCATTGCTTTTCCGAATTAAAAAGTTTATATACCCATGTTTAACATAATATGTAACTTGCATTTACCTTTCTTATGTAGAAAACAACAGGCAACTACAAAAAAATATAAATGTTGCACAAATTACTGCTATTGCAACAGTAGACACAAAATAAGGATTAAGTAATTTGTCAAATACGTCTACCCTTACATACGGTTCAGCATCACGTATTTTCACGTTAAAATAAGACAGGAGAGAACACCAGGGATGAACTCCTGCCTGGTAACTTTCAGTAAAATAAGACAGTGTGCTATGAGGAAGGGGCACTCAGACTTGTCAAGCTTGAGGTTGCCTTAACACGGTTAAATGCCCCAACCCTTAGAGGCGATTCAAGAGGCTGCTAACCTTTCGGTTGAACCAACGAGCTAAGACTAAGCTGAGTCAAGAGGAATACTTAGCAACTCACATTCCATATCTCCGTTCTGGAGGGATGATAAAACATCTGCCATCAAAAGAGGCCCCAAACCCGGACAGCAGAAAGAAGTCACTTAAACACTGTCAGACAGACCACAGACCGGGCCACCAATCCGGCCTGCTAACACTACGTCATGGTATCGGCTGTAGGCGCCCCCAGGGAGAAACCAAGGAATGATATGAATATGCAGTTTTGAGGCTCCAGGTGCCCACTGGAAACCTCAAGCAGTTTAAAGACTCGCTGAATTCGCCACCTCCATCGACATGGATGTTTTTTGCCCTGGACAACCGTGATTATCCGTATAGCTCCACCACAACAAAAGGAATGGACAAGACAGTGCCATACGGTCCCTGCCGAGCCTGAAACAGCCATCGCCAGCAATGACTCCAGTCCTTTAGAGACTGATTTTAAACACCTGTGGCCGAGACCACCTAGGTACAGATCGTAATCAGTATTTCCCAGGTTTTACCTGAGTTGACCCCCAGAGGGACGTTCAAATAAGACAAGAATTTTCTTGTTCAGACAGGCAGCAAGACGAACTGCTTGTTTTAATGATTTTACCCGGTGCCTTTTTTACTTAGCGCTATTGTCGGCGTGGCCCTGAGCATCGCTGCATGAATCATTACTCAAACTGTCATGTGTTGATAAAAGTGATGAAAGCAAAATATAATAAATAATGATTTGCCATGTTGGCATCAGGGATATAAAATATTAGTAGGTCTAATATTAATGATGTTCCTTTGTAGAATGTTTCGTTTTGAGATGTATGCCAATCAGATACACAGCTAGGGAGGCAAATTACTGATCTCGCACATTTACCGTAAAATGATTGTTTCTTCAATAACAAGGTATTTTATTTAGAGCCGAATTGAAATTAAGAATCGGGACTCTCTGTATGCTTTACTATGGAGATGGGGAATGCACATGCACAAAACATTAAAAAATACGGTGGTGGTGACTTTGCAAATCGGATTTTAAATCATTCCGGATACTGAACGTCTAGATCTCGGACTTTGTACTATAATATTTCAAATCAAAACTTTAAAAAGGTCTTACGCAGGTATGGAAATTCAACTGGTCTAAAGAAGAAACAGATCAACGAACTTATAAATTCATACCATTTCCATCACGAAACATCACACAAACAAGTCATACCCTCTTCTTTCTTACAGCCCACTGACTATTCATCTCATACTTAAAAAGATTCAACTTATACAGACAGCTACACTGGCTCAATATATTATTGAATATGATATTACCATTTTCCATCCTTACATATCACAAAATGCAACAGTCTGGTTTGAACAACTCCCAAAAAACAATATCCTCACACAAAAACTTGAAACTCTAATGGACTATCTGAAAACACATAGTGAACATCTCAAGGTAGCATAAATGCAATCCAAAAAACCTATAGACAAACACTCATACTTTATCTCAGCCCCTTTTGTTAAAATTATAAATTCTGTTATATGTAAACACTTAATTGTAAATATTCTGGCACTGTGTCAAACAATCTTGTATGTAAAGAAATTTTTATGTAAAATTTTATAATCTAAATAAATGCCACTGGTCTGCAGGCCCAACCTTTGGCTGGGTGAAGCAGATGGTAGATAGTGCCACGTTATGAGCACTAATGTTGAAAATTTTTCAACACAAGAGCAGCAGCTCATTTTCTGGTCTCCTGTCCTATCCACATGCAGAAAAGAAAGAATTAGAGTCTGAATAATTTAAGTACAATTAACATAACAAATTACATTCGTCTTTAACTTTCTAATTGTCAAAATTTCCATTCCCCATTGCAAGTGTGTACAACTGAGGAGGTGAAACATTCAACACTATATAATTCTGCAGAGGAAGACAATAAATGTGTGAAGAGTGTGTGTCCTCCTGATATGGCTATTCAATGTCTGTTTCATCTTTATTATCGACGTGGCCAGTAGCCACTGTTTTCTCTAGCATGGTGTGGCAGTTTGGGGCAACTAACATGGAATACAGCTGTTAAAGACTAGAATAGAAATAGGAATCTAGCAGGGTATTCCAGACAGCATTTATATGAAGTATCACATGGAATTGTTGCAATTTAGTACCTGCCGACATGCCAGTCCAATTAATCACCTATTATTCATCACACGATTTTCCTCGCATGTCATAGATTGACATGCCTTGTTCATCTGTTTTGAAAATCTCAAGAAAAGCATCCATTGAAATTAATGTTTCACTTACATAAAATATGTTCCACTGATAGGACACCACCTTTCCTACTTTGCAAATAATCTCAACATCATGCAAAACCAAAGAACACTAATTTATCTAGCTTATTGTTTTTATCTAGCTTATTATTATTACAGCTATCTTAAAAGCATATTTGGTTACTAGCTTTCTACAGTAGATATGGCGAAAGAAAATAGCACTGGTGCAATTCAGCTTCAAGAAGTGCAATTTCAAAACTGGAAAAATAACAACCTTTTTTTGGCATAAATTTTGAATGATATAGAAAAAAAAAAAAAAAAATTTAGCTGATGAAATTTGTGAAAAAATGCGTAGAAGTGATAATAAATGAAGATGATATAACAAAATATATCCACTGCAATAACAACACCCAATAATTAAGCAATCAACTAATTGATGGTAAAATATGTAGTAATGCTTTAAATCCAGAAACATTAACTACCAATAATGAAGAAAGTGACAAAGAGATTCCTGAGAATAAAAAGATTTTGACCGACAGTTTACATTCACTTTATAATTTACACATTCTCTCCTCCCCAAGGAGAAAAAGGCTTGGTGATAGAAAAGACCTTTTAGACAAAAAGCACTAGCAAAGGAAGAGAAATTTTTATATAAAATACAAAAGAGAATCACTAGCAAAATTACTAACTTAATTTGCATGTAGATTTTTAAATTCCGAATTTCAATCTAACGACAAACCCCTTTGTATCTGCACTGATGCCTGCAATATTCCGCATTGTGAAAGCTCTTACTCAATCACCATTCAGGATTAAAATAGTAAAGCCAAGCTTATAAATACTACAGCAACTAGGTATGCATCCTCTTTTGCCACCTAGACTTGCCAGCTAAACGGCATCTCTTTGCCTAGCCGCATTCTTTCATTGTTCTAAAATGTATGTGTGTATATAAAATTGTGGAGCATTTAGCACCCCTAGTGTTGTACCAACTAAGAAAAAATATCTCTAAAGAATTGCTCCTCTTCAAAAATAAAAATGATTTTTTACCATTAAGCCAGTTATGATTCTCCCTCCAGCCATCTACTAAGCAGCAATTTTAAGCTATTTTCTGTTATGTGAAAGCTTCCTCACTCTGGCCAAGATTGAAAAATATTCAGTGTCTTCTCCATTCTGGCCCATCATATCAATAAATCATTACATAAATTTTGCCTCTCCCTCCAGCCATCTACTAAGCAGCAATTTTAAGCTATCTTCTGTTACGTGAAAGCTTTATCCTTCCTCTGGCCAAGATTGAAAAATATTCAGTGTCTTCTCCATTCTGGCCCATCATATCAATAAATCATTACATAAATTTTGCCTAGCTCTTGATGAGATTTGTATCTGTAGTGCATGGATGGCTACTATGATCAACTCCGATATTAAGATTGTCTTACAGCCTCTGAAAACAAGCATAAACTGTCTAAACACTTGTATCATCAGTCTCATAAATAAAAGAAACGATTGTAATGAATCATAAGCACTGATGCCTTTTTCAAAACAACTGAAAAATGTTTCGTTTGACTGCTAATAGTTCAAGAGACCATGTATAAATCATCATAAACAAATGTGTTTTGAATAGGCTACCCATCAACTTAATAATATGACATTTCTAAAAAATAAGGTTGTAAGTTTACATAAATATGATGAATAAAGAAAATGCTTGTAGAATCATAAAAGAAACTTCTAGGGCAACCTAATATAATATTTATATAATAAAGTATACTTACACAGGCAAAAGATATGGGGTAAATTTGCATGGATTTTTTGTGCATGCATAAAGCAATCGTTTCCAGTTGTAAGATACTCCTTTGTTTAAAAAATAGTTAGTCATTTGTGATTCAGGAACTGAAATAGAATTTATATAAATGTACTAAAAAATTACAATGAGAACAGCAAATTTCAAAATGGGGAATTCATTTTAAAAAACAAAATGATGAGAGAGTAGCTCAGAAGAATTTTTCAAAAAATAATGAGAATGCACCGTAAATGTACATTTTCAGATTAATATACCAAATATACAGGGGTAAAAATTTTAATTCTATGGTAAAGATATTTGTTTACATCATGTGTAAACACATAAAGCTGTCATATACGATGTGTTTACTATACAAATATTCTTATTTCTAACACCATTAATGAGAATAACACAAATTATTTACAATTACTATATACTAACACATACTATTTCTTTATGTAGAATTTAGGCAGTATAAATGAAGAAGATCATTCTATATTATTTTTTATTGAAAGTTCATTAATGCAAATAAAAATACGTTAATAAGTAAAAAATAACAAACATAACCCCTATTTATTTTGTAATTAATAAAATTAGCATTATTTTACATGTCTGGAATCCAAGAAAAAGAAGCATAGTTCCTAGAAAGCTAAGAAAAAGTCAGTGCCTCTCCTTGGGAAGAAAATTCCCCGAATTCAAGAAAATGCAAATTTCAGCCTTTAAAACCACAAGTAAAATTGTAATTTACCTAATTATTGCAAAATCAAAGCAAAAGGCTGCTTTACCATGTATTGCATTAGTATTAATGAGGGTTAACTATGAAGGTTATGACAAAAAGAGGATAATGTATTAAATCTCTTTCTACTTTCCACATGTCAGCAGACACTGACTAAGGATCTTAGCATGCATAGGGTGTATCAACACATCGTTCCCCGCATGTTAAACCTAGATAAAAAGGGAATTTGAATGGAAATGGCAGGAGACTTAATCTCAGCTGTTGAAAAATATCCTTCCCTATTTGGAATTGTTACTATACATGAGAAATGGTGGTACAAACCGCAAACCAAGAGAGCATCGGCAACATGAAAATCACCCCAATCACCATAGAAGAAGAAATTCTGCCAAGATCGCTCTAAAGGATAGGTCATGCTAGAGGTATTCTTCGATATCCAGGACATTGTGCATCAGGAATTTATCACTGAAGGACACAGTATGAGCAAAGAACTCTATATCGATATCCTGCGTCGTTTGCGTGAGTCGATCCAGAAGAGACCAAAAATGTGTCATGAGTTCTGTTGCATGACAAAGACTCCTACTCACGAATCCGTACTCGTCAATGACTTTCTTGCGAAAACGAACACAACTGTTTTGCCTCATCAGCCTTACTCATCTGATCTCGCACTTTGAAATTTCTTCCTATTTCCTGAACTGGCAAGATGCTTGCAGGGTCATCGACTTCAATCTTCAGATGAATTTAAAATGTGTATCTCATGCTCAATTAAAGGACATAGGCAAAAATGGATTCCAGACATACTTTGAAGAACTTTACAGGTGTTGGCAAAAGTGAGCTGTTGCACAAAGGTCTTATTTCGAAGGAGGATGTGTTTCTGTAATTCATGATATTTTTTACATTATAGACTCAGTCTGGGAACTTTTGAATCCTACCTCGTAAAAGACAGTACACTCAAACCATTTCTTTATTCATAATTGCAAGAAGTAGAATTTGAGGGGAAAATTGCACTGTCAACTTCTGAATATATTACAGCAAATTTTTATTTTTGACAGGAAGTACTGACTGCAGAATGTTTCTAAAACATCATCTGACTGCAAATAATCGTGATCAAGCAGTCAGACATTTTGACGTAGGCCAAAGTGTCACTCAAGTTGCAAAACACCAACAGACATGTCACAGAGTATTTATCTCACACATAAACAAAGTTCCCAAATGTGGAAGTGCTACGCAAAAGCATGCTGGAAGCTGTAGAAGAACTACTACACTTCAAGAGTGTAGATGTATCACACCAGCGGAGAGAAAAAAAAAAAAAGAGCTACCCGTGGTTAGATAGCCATAGTCCTTGCATATCTGCGAGAACCAATTCTCAGGAATTAAAAAATATTGGCTTACTACAGAAACTGTTGTAGCAAATGGCCCAGACTTCCCTTCATTGATGAACATGCTCATGCATATCACCACAAGTGTTTATTGCTTATTTATCTTTAAATTATCAAATATAACCAGTGTGCAGAACTTAAGCAACTTTTCTGATTCGATCGTAATTCCACACAAAATCAACTGGAAGACAAAATACTCATACTACAGAGGCAAAATGCAGTACTTAACGATGAGAAAAGTACAGTAGCAGAAAAATGAATAATATACTTAAAATACAGAACTAACAGAATATGGTTAAGATACAACAGCATGCCGAACAAGTATTAATTTAGAAGTCAAACAACAAAAATCAGCATTTTGCTCTCAAATTTTTACAGGACTAGTTATGATAGTGCTTAGCAGAGGAAACATAATGCTGATTTTTATTGTTTGACTTCTAAATTAATAATAGGATGTGGCTTTATTGATAGAATGGTCTTGGTACAAAAACTGATCAGCCAAATGGAAGAACAAACCAAAGAGCTTTAGTAAGGGATAGTTCCACTGCACCATCTGTTGATACTCAACACCAGATTATTTAATACTTCTTGCGGTAAAGTTTTCCATTCTTCAAGGAGCATCTGTTTTAGTTGCCTAGTATTCTCTGGAGGGTAATATCATACCACCAGGCATCTGCCTAAAATATCCAATACATGCTCAATGAGATTTTAATCAGCAAAGCATGCTGCCCAATCTATTCTGTGAATATCTTCACTTTCCAGGAGGTTCTCAACAGCATGTGTCCTGTGTGGCCATGCACTGCTTTTCCATAAAAACAAAGTGGGGATCAATGGCACACTGAAAAAGATACACATGGGAAGATGAAATTTATCATAGCAATGAACTAAAGCGAACTTCTGATAAAAATATTGAGCTCCATTTGTCCATTTATTCATAATGACTCCTCATACAAGCACCCCAAGACTACTCCATTGATCTCTATCCCTAGTGAGATGAAAGCATGTCCCTATCTTTCTTCCACATCAACTGATGCCGAGAAACATCTGTCAGATAGACATGACTCAGTAACGTCTTCAGTCGAAAGATTAGTGATAAACAGAGCGACTCCAATGATGAAGAGCCTAATCTTTGTGTTCTCTACACTATTGTAAATGACGCTGGTGATGATATCTAGCTTTCAGTACGGTAGGCGAATATGCCACACCTGTCGTTTGGTTGCCAAGCATAACTGCTGCGCAAAGTCGCTTGCTGTCTGGTTTCGATCATTTTTGGCATACAGGGTGATATATCAGTCATCAGTGACTCTAGTTTTCCTTGGCTGACAATGACTAAACTTTCTTACAACAGTTTTCAGCTTAACCCATTAGCCACTGGTGTTGCGTTGACGCAACGGTCAAAATAAATGCGTATATAAATATAACTAGCTAAATTTAAACAAATTAAAATTTTAACAAACATGCATATACGTAAAAAAGCAAATTTAAAGTTTAAATAATTTTAAAAAAGTGCAAACATATAAAAGATTTAATTTTCGAACTAATCTACAATATCATTTAAATTCAGATAGCATAAGTAAATCAAGTGCTAAACCAAACCATGAAAATAAAATTCACCAATTTAACAGATTAAAATTAATCTAAAAATTTCTTTTAAATGCATAAGTGAATGACTGATGAGCAGGCAGGAGACAGACTTATCAAGGGGAAGTTGCCTCTAAACCTAACTCTCCAATCATTCAATTCGTGTTTCGCCATTCATGCAGGCAAGGTTTTAAGTCAAAACCAGAAGTAAAGAGTGAAGAATGTCCAAAAAGAAATACCAAAGTGGTACCTTTAGAAATTAGCAATTAAATATTAAAGTTCTAAAAGGAAAATACCAATGAAGCCTTTTGAGAAATAAGCAATATAGTAAAGTCAAATATTAAATTAAACTTTAAAAAAATTAAAATTTTAAAAAATTAATTTTTCAGAAAAATTAATTCAGAAACCAATGCATTTTAGAAACCCTTGTCTACAGAAACCTCCCCGACACGAATATGCATATCAATAAAATGAAACTAAAAAGGAACTAGACATAATTTATATAAACCATAGAAACAAAAAGAACTAATTCATAATAAAAAAAAAAATCTGATGTGTACACCACATGACTTCCTTGTATTGGAATATTAAATTATACGCATTTTTTCTTGCATTTCACTTAAACTTATTGGATTGAATTAAATCTACTTCGCCGACAGCGCATAAACCACAATAGAATAAATGCATTCTTTATAATTCATTCTAGTATTTGTTTACCATAGCGACACTCTGGCACTAGATTCACTTAACAGTATTAATAATTATATAACAGTTAACTTATATAATAATTATATAATAGAAAATAACTGTTATATAATCCAATAATTATACAACAGTTAGCTTACATATTTCGTTCATATTATAACTCATAATGCACAAAATTTATATCATTTAAAGAATAGAATTATCTAATCGTTGCCACATGTTCTATTCAAATACTATAATAAAGCTAGAATGATGTATAAAAGAAATTAAGCAAACAAAACAAAAAAGAAACAGTTTTTCACAGACGATTGAGTATTTCTCATTTAATTAAATCAGTTCTTACTTTGCGAGAATTGATTTTGCAGTAATATTTATTGTATTTGTTATTTGTAGAGAATTTATAATTGCAAAAGTCAATAATAAGGTCTTTGATAATATTGTGCCCTGTAAAATGCTGTTTTACAAATTTTATAAGTAATTTTAAGAAATTGTGCTTACAAGTATGCAACCAAGTAATTAGATTTTTAGTGAAATTTTCAGCAAGAAAGTAATTATTAATATTATCATTTAACTTTTTTGTATCTATTGTTGAAAAGTTTATTTTTTTGTTTATTACCTGCTCTGGTTCCTCGTAATGTTTTTTTACTGAATAATTTAAAATGGCTGTAAGTTGGAATTTCAGAATTTAATTTAATGTGTTGGTTGAATGTAT